CCGTTTGCGAGCGTTCGCAAACATTGGGAGGCACTTTGGGGCACTTCTCGTCAATTCCGCAACATTGTTCAACCGCTTGCGAGCACGTCGGATGCATTTTTGGACACTGTTGGGCAGTTTTGAGCAGCGTTCGCGAACATTTGCGAACGTTTGCAAACACGTCGGATGCAGTTTTGGACACTTTTGGCATTTTTGGACACAGTTGCTGGAAAAGTACACAAACGTGACAGAAAGTATCCGAAATGCCCAAAAGTGCCTCCGACGTGCGTGCAAGCATTGGCAAGTGTCGGACAAGGGCCCGGAAGTGATTCCGAAGTGATTGCAGGCGTTCGTGAAGCGCCTCGAGAATACTTTTGGCGAAAGTGCTGCCAAACGTTCGCAAAATGTTTTCCAAATTGCCCGGGATATCCCGGAAGTGCTCCCAAAGTGGTTGCAAACATTCACAAACGCTCGCAATACGCATCGACAGTGCCCCGAGGTGTTTCCCAAGTGCTTGCGAACGTTCGCAGAACGCGTCTGAAGAGCCTCCAGAATGCTTCGGGTACTCTTCTAGAACATATGCTTCAACATGCCCAAACGTTTTTTCTGACGCGCTGGGAAACGTCCTCAAACACTTGCGAAGTGTTTCAAAAATGCTCAACAACTGGAGGACGACGACAACGACGATGAGGAGGAGGAGGAGGAGGAGGACAAAGAACAAGAGGAAGAGGAGGAGAAGGAGGAGGAGGAGGAGGTGGAGGAGAAACAGGAAGAGGATGTGGAGTCGGACGAGGAGGAGTCGGACGAGGAGGAATGAAGAGGGGGTGGGGGAGGGCGGGGACGAAGAGAGGGGGGCGGGGGATGGTAGAGCGGGAGGAGACGGATGGGGTAGGAGGGCGATTAGGAGGAGAAGTATGACGACGAGGGAGGAGGACGATGATTCTGGTAGGGTGCGAGCACGAGCAATTGTAATGGTAGTGATACTACTCGTAGCAGCGGAGCAATAGTTGTTGCTTGCTGTTGTTACTGTACTTGTTGTTTTTGTTGCTGTTGTACGGAAGCGCTATGGAGGCACTTCACGAACGCTTGCGAACATTAGCGGGCACTCGCGGGGGCACTTTTGGGCAGTGCCTGGCACTTCGGACTCGAAACGAACTCCGATGAGTTTCATTCTGACCTGAGGGAAACGGGTCGTGCACAGAGGGCCTCCCCCCGGGACCAGCTCGTCGACCACAGTTGGGACAGAAGCGTGACTGCATCAATGCGACAACGAGCGGCTTAATCGGAGAGACCGGAGACGGGCGCCTCGAAGCTCGCTGGGGCGTGAGAGGGCTTCGGCCCACCCGCGCCGCTCCCGAGGGGCCTGTCGGCCGGCCGGCTGGCAGACCCGCGCGCCCTGCGCCCTGCGTTTTCCTCACGGCCCCGGGGTCGCCGACCTGTAAGGGTGGCCTTTCGCTGGGGTGACCCCTCGTGCGGGCCCGATGGGGCCCCCCCCGATCGCCGAGCGCGATGCGGCAGTAGCGTCTTGCGCGCTCGTGTGTGGCCCCCCCGCGGCCCCCAAGAAGCCGCGCACCAAAGGCCGCTCTTGCCGCAGGATCACTCCTGCGTGTAGTCCGCCAGGGCTCGCGGAGGAGACCCCGCGAAGCAACAAGCACGCAGAGCAGCCTGTATGATTTGTCAAGCGGCTGCGGCCCCAGAGGGCCCGGCCCCGTCTCCGGGGGGGAGCTTGACAGCCCCGGGGGCTCAAAAACCGGGCGCACTGCCCCCAGGCCGAAGCGAGGGGAAGAACGCGCCGGTTGAAGAAGTCAAATCGTGGTGCGATTCTTTCGCAGCACGAGCCCCTGGATACGTCGGGTGTCTCGACCCATTCCCAGGGACCAGCTTCTCATCCCGAGTCGTTCTTTGACAATCCTGGGACCCGCCAGGGGCCCCCATATCGTGGTTTTCGAGAAGAGAAGCGCCCATGCGTGTTGAAACGGGTGCAACCCCCTGGCCCCAAATTCAAAGTTCGGGGTGGTCGACGCGGGGGAGTGCAAAACGCTCACATTTGCAAACGGCGGCCTGTTCCCTTAGATGGCCATTGACATTGGGGGCGCGGGGGGCGCTCTTGCGCCATCTTCTGGCCGTTACACCTCCGCGTTTTTTCGAAAAGGACGGTGGCCCGAAGATTGTTAAGAGCCTCCCGCCTCACGATGTTCCAACCTACTGTAGCCTTGATCACCAGAAACAATTTCGAGCACCAAGAGAGTACCGAAATTTGAAGGTTTCCACGTGTCGGGCCCTGGGAGGCGACACTTGTTCGACGCTCTTTCGACACTTTTCCTGGGTGCTCGAGATTATTTCTGGGATGCGGTCCTTAAGTGCCCATCGGTCGTTGAAAGTGGGTATTTGAGGGTTTCCCAGACTCCAATCTACTTTGAGTGCCTTCCTACTTCAGTGATCGATTGGCTTCACCGCTTCCGTCCTCTTCAGGGGGCGAGCGGACACCCAATCTACTTTCAACGCCTTCCTGCTTCATGTC